AGCCTTTCCAGCTTCAAGAAGGTTGTGAATTGAGTAAGCTGAGTCCTCAGAATCACCAAAAAGGTGTAATATCTCAGCATATCTTTGCTCAAATGGCTGCAGAATAAAAAATTGTATTAGTTTCTCAAGATAATGACTGCCATTCAAACAATAATCCAAGAAAGTTCATCTTGGAGATTCAAAAAGAAGCAATATTTTTTATATAATGATCCCTAACACCAAGCCTACCAACATTTTTCTCCATTTACCAGGCTCAAATGGAAGACCTCACATAAGAAGAGACAAACTAGTTCCTCAATTCAATGACAAGCACCATAATATAACCAAAAGCATCTTGTATATTACCTTGTCCAAGGACTTCCTCCATGACCTCCCTAATTGATGAAAAAGCAATGCCTGCATGCACAAAAAATAACACAACCATTTATTAATGATAAAAGAAACGTATTTACACTTAATACATAGAAAACTTGAGTAAGATAGCAGCAAGTGCATGGTGTACCAATGCACACAACCTGAGCAACAAGCATCTGACTGCTTCTTATCATGCAGCCCCAACCTGAATCACTGGTGTACTTGGACTCTCCGATGGGAGCAAATCCTGATCATTCAAAGTGACAGAGATAAAACCCTCATTAGTTGTATTACAAAAGAAATGCTGATCTCATCTTAAATAGATAAGATTAAAAAACTCACCTTTACGATACGTGATAAAGATTCTCGAAGAGAAATCTTCTACAAAAGAAGCATATCCCTCGCTCTGGGTCGGATCAATTGACAGATCACTACTCTCAGCTACTCTATAGCAACTTCCCAGAAGCCAAATATCACTCTTGGACCCAGATGGAATCCCAGTTTTGTTAAAGCCCAAATATCTCCTCATTGAGCTACCGCTGACTGCTCTCCTCAAACTTGCTGTCCAGCCATTAGCATAACTATCATTCTTCAAGCTCCAATTTCCCTTACACGGGAACCCTTTTGGGTGCTCACCTGAAAGAGTGCCGAAGATAGAGAAAGCAGGTGCCCAGAAGCCTGTTGCAGAAGCACAAGATGGTTTATGCTCTTTTGGTTCTGCCGAAGAAGACGAAACAGAATCCGAACCCGAACCCGGACCCGGGCCTTGACCCAATATCCTAGTAGGCGAATCGGGATTGGAGAAAGTTATTATGGTGTTGCTTCCCAATAGATCCTTTTCCGGCATCAGAAAAGGTCACCGTGATCAAGGGCACATCTTGAACCCCAGGCCCAAATTAATTCTTCTGGTTTTCTACTTTCTTAGGAATATACGTAGTAATTCCTTTCTCCTGGGCAAAATACCATAAAATTAAGAAGCTAAGGAGTATACTCGGTAGTTAGATGTTTTTTAATGGGACTGATCATATAAGAAACATATTACATCATATTTTTACAATTGTAAAATAGATATAGAATTGAAATATGATACGGAGTACTTCATTTAACTCGTGAGAGAAAAGGAGTAGAATTTCATTTAACATTGCTTTGAAAAGGAGTACTTCATAGATTATAATCCACATAAAAATGTTACTAGAGGCTTTTGAAAACATGAGAGATTAGAAATGAGTCTCGGATTTAGCTTTTTTGGCTACTTTGGTAAAAAAAAAAATTAGTCTTTCTAATAAACCACGGATTGGTTGTGTGACGGATTGGTGGTGTGACGTCTAAACTACCTCTAATATTTGGAGCAACCTGCATGATTGACAAAGGACAAAGGGAGAAAAAATTGATATTTTCAATTTCTGAACAATATATTGCCAAAGCAACTTCAAGAGCAAGAGCAACTTCTTGAATTTGTTTATAGCCATATATTTGGAGCAATATATATTCTGAACAATATTTGGCTCGCAATATATTGAATACAGCCATATATTTGGAGCAACCTGCATTTTATTTCACCTTCTTTATGTGTGTAACATTAAAATTCTTAAAAGCACAAGAGCAACTTCTTTGAGTACATCATAATTCAGTTGAAAGCTTCTTGATGTGGGGTGCTTCTTTGAGCACAAGAGCACCATGATTCTCCCTAACACAAAACAATTGACAATTTTTTGCATAATAAAAAAATACAAGTATTTGTTATCATATGCGTCCAAATACCATGTAGGCATGCATATGTACCTCACTGTCACGAAATAGGCGTTCAGGTTAGGCTCCTAATTTTGCTTTCATCACTTTGTTAGCAGTACTATACCCTTAAAGACCCGCCAATGGGTCGCTTGAGGACATATATCCCTAAGCACTCCACACGTAGATGGATCTTCTATATAATGAAACACATGAGCTTAGTACTTTGATTTGGGAATAACCATGCAAGCAAGACCAAAAAAATAAAATAACAATTGATATTACTGTAAGACTGATGTGGAAATTCCCTTTTGTTCTTCCCATGTTTTTTTTAGAGAATCTGCTCCCATGCTGCAAACAATAAAATTATGAAGCACGCCAACTAAATTCTTGGCCTAGAAGCACAAACGAGGACCTATATATACTACACGTTCACACGTTCCTGACAATGAATAAAATTGAATATTAAAATTCCGGTGAACTCAAAGTGCAAAGATAGCTGGCTAAACAATTATAGTAAAAATTGTAACACTTGGCTCCAATTTATTTTATGTTTAACGTGTGAACAGTAAAGACACCTAAAAAATCCCAAAGACACCTCAGCTCATTTGCAACCACATGTTTTCCTAAAACACGCAAGAAGTCATCAGCGTTCTAATTAATCGTTTCACAATATTCAAACAACACATTTATGCACATAAACATAAAGAGACAATAGATTTATACTTGCACAATATTCGAACAGGAAAGACATTATGCACCGAAATGTTTTTTCCCACTCGTGCTACATCCATTACACACTATCCCGCCCAAATTCATGCCCAAAACTCCCCCACACTTTTCTGTTTTGCTATACACACACACACACATATATATAACAAATAGTAATTCACATTATTATTAATATTATTTGATTAGACTTGGTTTAAATTGCAAATGTACAAGTATGTATAAAAAGAAGATCAATTTATATTACGTGCATGCAAAGATCTAATTGTAGATAAAATTTGATAAAATTACTTTAATAGAAGTTAAACTAAATTACAAAAATCAGTGAAATTTTTATCCTTTTTATTCTTTTAATAGGATTTATAGGCCGGGATGAAAACACTTAAATCTTATTTTAGATTTTTTTTCGTATGTTTAACTCTTATTTTGAGCAACTTCCTATAAGATTTTAGGTTATATATAGAGGTAGGGTTGGGGTTAAAGGGGGGAAATATCCCCACTCCCTCCGATCCCGTACAATGGATATGCCCCTCGTCGTAGTCAAACAAAACCATTGTTTAATTTCAATAATTTTTTTATATGCGACCCCATAGTATACAAAATGAATCATTAAAATAGTACACATTATACAAAAACAATCGAAGAAGATACAAATATATTATTACAAAAGAGTAAAGTTATTACCTTAAAATTGTGCCCGACATTTCTCAAAAGAGATAAATCCCTAAATTACAGCTTTTGAGTCAAAAGCTTATGAAAATTGCCTGGTTTTGTTTTCATATACTACTTATTTGTGCCGTGTTGACCCAATCGGGTCCGGGTTGACTTGTGACCCAGTCATGTGACCGGGTTGCTTTCTGGCCCGATTTCTTAAACATAGCGTCACTGAAGATAATTTTGTGATGAGGTTATGTTATTTCTATTTCTAAAATATTATAATTGTGAATGAGGGTAAGGGTACTTTAATTTGGGTATCCAAAATGTGTTGCTGTAATTATAAGCCAATGTAAACTTATACTTTGAATTTACACCATTGTGCCTTATTCTATCCACTATCTTTAATACCAGAATCCCCTTTTGATTGTCTTACTTTAACTAAAGAATTTGTAGTTCCAGTTAATTCTCTCTCTTCGGCACAAACTTCAACCTAACTATTCTTACTTTATTAATTTTCGTGCCGGTCAAACTTGGTCAAGTTTTAAAATACGGAGACAGTATTAGTTTAGAGTAAATAGTTGGTGACATAAAAACTGGCACCAAAATCATATTTTCCCACACTTATTACCTTATTAATGGCATTCTTTTGAAATTGAACTTCAATTTTAATTTTATTTAGGGAAAAATGTCAAATAGGTTCTCAAACTTTCATAAAAGGTCAAATAAGTCCTTATATAGGAGGCTCTGTCCGGCCGTCACGATTTGGGGGGGTTCCTGATGGATTTTTTTTTGATGAAATTTTTTGAGCATCTTCAATCAGCTAAATTTCATCAAGTCTAGTTTACTCATACCAAATTTCAGCTAAAACTTCAATCAGGAATGCATTCAAATTAATTCTTGAAGATAACTGCACATTTACACATCTTTTTCCATTGGACACTGACTAGGTTTTTACTCTTTTTTTGAAAATCATATAAACAATCTTATTTTTCACTTTTTTATTATAGCTTTATGGGAAAATCGCACTTTTAGTCCCTGAAATAGTCACGAAAATGAAATGTCGGACCCGTATTCCCAAGTTTGTAAATGTCGTCCCTCAATTGTTCTAAATGCTGTAAATGTAGTCCTTTTAGGGGTGAAATATACAATGTGGACGAGAGTACATTTCACCCCTTAAAGGACCACATTTACAACAAGTTAGACACTTGAGGGGTGACATTTACAATATCAGAAATACGGGTCCAACATTTCATTTCATGACTGTTTCAGGGACTAAAAGTGCAATTTTCCCTATCTTTATAAATGTGAGATTATTTATATAGGATTTTCAAATATAGGTAAAAGCTCTGATCGGGGTCCAATGAAAGAAGATGAGGTACAAATGTGAGATTATTTTGAGATTATGTAAAAGTGATATTATTTTGAGAAGAACAATGAAATGTGTAATTATTGATCTCAAATTTTCCAAAAACACAAGTCTGAACATAAGAGAACATTGGAAGCCTTACGTTTGCATTGCAAATCACCTACCACACCTGTATCGTATATCTTTGAAAGCTACTGGATAAACAAATTCGGATGTTGTAGTACAATCTAAGAAACATTACCCGCGGAAATTTGTTACAGTGACAATATCATTTAGACATTTAATCACTTTGAAGTTTGAACAAGATAAACCATGAATTTATTTAATTGATTATCCATTTCAAATATCTGCTCCAGTTCTCTATATACGTATGCAAGTTGCGTTTGGTCCCCGTTTCAATGCGGGATTGGGTTGAAACTTGAAACTCGGAAGTTTTTGATAATGGAGAGCAGTGAACGTAAGAAGGACGTGAAATTGCCTCTGCTGGACGGCTGGAAGCTCGGAGGACGCGGGCGGCGCAGCCGGCGGTTTTCCAGGCGGAACTCTGTTACCTCGCTCCGAAGCGATTTCCTGGCTCGTCTACCGGATAATGTCCGTTCCTGCGTTGACCCTGAGTCTTCTTCTCCGCCTGACCTCTCCAAATCTTCTTCCTTGACGAAAGGTCCTTCTCTCCCTCCCTTACCCCCTCTCATTTTCATGTGGATTCCGTGTTTGTTCATCGTCATTTATCTTTTGAGGGCGGGGTTCTGTGGTTATTACCTTGTTCTGCACTTCGCTTCTGGATAATGAACAAATGTGCATGTTTCTTCCTGGAACGGCTGGAAGATGAGCTTTTGAGACATAACTGTTGGGTTACGTCTTCAAGCATAACTAATTGAAGCTTACCAACCCAATTGCTATAGCATCTGCACAAAACAGAATCCGCAGAACGAACTAAGTCTAGTTTTGATGTAAAACTGATCATATTAAGAGATAATAAACCGTGAGACCCTTAAAGTCCATCAAAGTTTGCAATATCAACAAGTTGAAACAAAGTATTTGTAATTACTGAATTATAATTTGTAAGTATAGGCATTAAGGCATAATTTGTAACTACTGGATTATAATACTTCTTAGTTATTTTTAACAAGTCTTTTTCAAGAACACCCGATCGGTTGCACCAAAGGAAGCTATTTTCCAGGAGCTGAAATTTGTGAGTATGCCGAGCCGAACTGGCAAATTAAATACCCACTTTACTAAAAGAAGATAGTTAGATAGGTAGCCTGGTAATACATGCCCATTAAGTTTAGCGTATAAGAACCATGTTTCAATATTTAAAGGTGCAGTTGATGACTTGATGAAGGCCTCACTGAAGAGGAAAAGCTGGAAACTTTTAGTATTTCTCTAGTTCTTGGCATTGGAAGTTCTGACTTCATTACTCTATTCTTCTACTACTTTCTTTTATCCTTTCAAGAATGAAACTTATTTGGATGTGGGCCCTAAAGCATGGCCATGTGGGGTTCTAAAGTAATGCCATACACACACTTTACTTATTCTTGGTTTTCATTAGGAGAAATGAATTACTATCTCTGCCCCCCTAATACATGAGAGAATGATGCTGTTATTAAGAAAAGTGAATTCATATGGTTGGTATTAAATTGATAAAATGTGAATAAAATAAGAATGGATTAAAACCACACAATTATTACTAAAAATGGTATGTGACATTCTTAGTAGGTTGGAAAAAAAGGACAGTACAAAGATAGTGGGATAGAGGGAGTACTAATATCTTAGCTTCAAATTATGAGCTAATTTTTTGTTACATATGTTTTACGGGATTTATGTCTTATATTGGCTGCTAGTCTGCTACTGCTTTGTGCCTTATATTATTTTTAACGACTCAAGGATTGCCTGATTGCAGGAGAAAAAGAATATTATGAAAAACAATTTGCCACTTTACAATCATTTGAAAGTGTTGATATCGTGACTTCATCTAACTCGACTGATGAAGATCTTGAGGAATCAGCCCAACATGAGAGAGCAATGAAGATTTCCAATTACGTGAATGTATTATTACTGGCTCTTAAGGTGATTGCCATTTCTGTATACTCCCTCCGGGTTCCGTCCCTATTTAAAATTCCTGTTTTAGTTTTACAATGTTTGACTTGAGTATTGAAAATATTAAAATAAGTATCAATAATTAAAGTTACATATTTAAAAACTACAATAAAAGGTTCATTAAACTATGAAAACTGAATTTGTGTTATGATAAAAGTTTAATATATAAAATCAGAGATGAAAAAAGAGTTAAGTTTACTGCATGAATCATGAACAGGAATTTTATTTCAAAAAGGAGATTTTATTAACATGCATGGCATAGAGTAACTTTCGCGTGATATGAAATGTGGAATATAATATAATACTATGAAATGATTGAAATCCATTCATCTTTCAGCAAAAACATTTCATATGAAATGTGTAATATAATACATGACTTAAGTTGGTAAACCGTTGACAGGGGAATCACACATATAGTTTGCTTTGAGAACTTCAAACTAATTTGATGGAGTACTTTATGCCTTTGCAGAGTTATGCTACAGTTAAAAGTGGGTCTTTAGCTATTGCTGCATCAACATTGGATTCTTTACTTGATGTCATGGCTGGCGGCATATTATGGCTCACTCACTTGTCAATGAAAAACATAAATATCTACCAATATCCCATTGGGAAACTGAGAATGCAGCCAGTTGGCATTATTATCTTTGCTGCAGTCATGGCTACATTGGGTATGTCACTGCTTGACTGCTAACATTTTCATATTCATCCCAAAATTTGGGGATTTTTATGCAATTTGGTTCCTATTGCAATCCTGTCATGCTTGCAGAAGTGGTTATATGATCATTCATTCCCTCAATATATATCTTGTTCTCAGAAACTAGAGCTTTATTAAAGGAAATAAAAATACTGAGAAGCGGGTAGCAAAATGACAGCATGTAAATCAATTGGGCATGCACCGAGAAGCCACACAGATTCAAATTTTTAACTTTTAACTTGTAGACCACTCACTCGACCTTGAAACAAAATGCATCTTTTTTTACTGAAACATGTATAAAGTATCTGACCGTATGGACATGTGGTATGTAGAACATTATGCTTTATGCATGAGTATGGTTTTCAAAGAAGTATTAGACTTCATAAAATGGATTTTCCAGAAGTCACTTTGGTAGATATAACCTTCTTTAAATGAGGTTAAGGTTCATAATGATCCATTAAGTTGATTCATCTATTCTATATATTTCATATAAGTTGAGACTTCAGACGTTGCTACTCATTAACTCTTGGGCTTTGTCTTTGAAAGAGAATGTGGCATTAAATCATTACAACATAATGGATTTGCAAGGTGGTTTTCTGCCCAAAGCTTGTTACATTGTGTTGGTTAGTGCTGGAGATAGTTTTCTGACAGCAAGGAAAGTAGAAATTATCATCTACTTATTCTTCCAACCTGGATACTTGGGTGCATAAGTGGATATAAATTGATTTTTACAATAAAGTATAAATGAATGAAAAACAATTTAAAGGAATACAATACAATAGCTGTTTATGAAACACTTCATTAATTTTCATTCTCATTCTTAAATGAGTATTTACTTTTCCTCTCTTTGAGTTTTGTCATGTTCGTTTACCCATGAGATGAATAACTTTCATTTTCCATTCTCTCAGAGAATAGGTCGATTTGTCAGTTACATCTATTCGCCTGTCCATTTTTCTCTGTTTCTCAAAACATAAAGAAGGAATAACAAATCTATAGTTTTTCCAAGTTCTAGACTTCTAACCCTTGCTTGTAAGTTTATGGCACTTCTAAAATTCAAATTTCACCTCAGGATCAACGTGCTATTTGGTTTAAATGGTTGCTATTTCACATATCTTTGTGTTTGATATTTTTCCTTGTTATTCTTGCTCTGAATATATTGTAATTCCCTCTTTTTGATGTTGCAATTTCATAGGGAAATTAGGTTTGTTTACAAAAGGTTGCTTCCTGTTATAATATTATCTCATGACTCATGAGTATGAAAACATAATTATTTTAATTCACAATTATCTTCTTAAAGATTTTCTGCAATGGTAATTCCAATTTTCTAAATTTGGCATGTACAGGATCAAACTGATCTTTTCTGAAACAAATCTCCCTCCTTGATAACTTTTGGGCATCACTTGCTTAGGCTTTCAGGTATTGGTTCAGGCTGTCGAACAACTTCTTGAAAATAAAGCATCTGAAAGTTTGACCTCAGATCAGCTAACATGGCTGTATAGCATCATGATAACTGCTACTGTTGTAAAACTTGGTCTTTGGATCTACTGTAAGAATTCAGGAAATGAGATTGTTCGAGCTTATGCAAAGGTAAAACTTAGCTTTACCCACCACATTCCTTCTTTGAAGAGTGGCAGTGCCTAATTTTTTGTTATTATACTTCAGGATCACTATTTTGACGTTGTTACAAATGTAGTTGGATTGATAGCGGCTGTGCTTGGAGATAACTTTTACTGGTGGATTGACCCTACCGGGGCCATTGTACTTGCAATTTACACAATTGTAAATTGGTCAGCAACCGTCCTAGAGAATGCAGGTATCTGTAGGCAGAAGATTTATGAAACTGAAACCTCTAAATACTACTACGTATTACATATGGAGTATTTATTTAACAAGCATAAAGTATCCCTATCATTTATTGTTCGCTTTTTTGTTCTCTAATCACACATTTATACCATGACCTTAATTCTAATTAATGTCGGAGTTGGTGAAATGAAATTTATAGTGTCAATTAAATTGAATATGTAGAAAGTGTTAACAAATATTGAATCATGCAAAAAAGCATAGTGGCTTACATGGGATGCCGTTCCTGCTGCAACCTTTTTCCTGAAGAAAAATGACATTAAAGTTTACAAGAGATAGGCATTATACGTCATACATTGTTTCTCAATTGCATGGAGAATATCATTAGACATTGATTGAAACTTGAGGTACTTACACTATTACAAGAACTAAAATATCGAATAGGTTTGAGAAAATGTGTATTTGAGTTTGCTAATTAATTATTGTTATTAATGATGTTTAGAGAAGATATAGATACATTTTGAGTGAATTCTAAATGTATTCTGAGAGTTGGTCTAGTGGTCAGCCATTCCTAAGCTTTACTAGGCGTCGGGCACCAGGCGTTCGAGTCCCAGCGCCGGTATAATTTTTTAACCTTTCAGTTTTATTCTCTAACTCTTTTTCCCATATTACTTTGTCCCACACCGGACAAAGAAGTAAGTTTTCTCCTTCAGAGTTCTATATAACGAGGGATCCGCTCACAAGAAAGGATGTAGGGGATCTGTAGCTGAGTAGGCTATGTATTAATCTAATAGAATTATTGGGCTCAAAATTCTTTGGGCTAGCTTTATTGGCTTAATTCAATGAATAGTAGTTCAAATTTATGGTTTTTTTTAAAAATGATCGGTTTGTTTTGGTTTTGGGGTAAACCGACCTGAAAAATCAGTTCCCAACAAATTGGGACCCATTATATGAGTGGTTCGGTTTCGGTTATGCTTATTAAGAAAACAGATTTATCGGTTCGGTCCTAGAATTCTTCGAATCGGTTCGCGAACCGAACCGAATCCCAGCCCTAGTCATTCTGATGATACTATTTGTTAAGTATGCAGAGAAGAAAGAGGAAATGTAGCATAAAGAAAAATAAACACAGCCCAACTACCCAAAAAATGCTGGAGATACTATGATTTGATGATTCCTTTTATTTATTTCTTCATTGCAGCAGAATAAATGCCTCAATATCCTCCATCCCATTTTACCTGTCCTACTTTCCTTTTTGGATTGTCCCAAAATAGGTGTCACATTTCCTTTTTTGGAAAGAAATATGTGGTCTAGCAATTTACTTTATTATACTCAAATGTCAACTGCAACTTTTACTTTTTCAACCACTTTATTAATAATTGTGCCAAACCGGACACATTAAATGGGACGGAGGTAGTACAAGCGTAAATATTTAAACATATGAGTTTCTCTCAGAAAGGTCTGATGGGAAATAGTTGCAAACAGTTGCAACTTCTGATTTAGTCTGAAATCGACTCGGGACATTCTGTTCCATTATGCTGTTTATAATGGAATTCGTTTTCATCGGAAGCAGCATCTCTACCCCATTTGGGTAGAGGTGTGAGTAAATCTCTCTCTCCCGAGATCCTACTTCTGATTGGTATATATCGGGTTTCTCTGGTTTGATTTGGCTTTGTTATACTTTTCCCCAATTAAATTGGGCTTAGGTTCTAGTTGAGTCAACAGTCAAGTCTAATAGAAAGTCAGAAATATACTTCCTTTGATGTTTATAAAAGCTATATTAACATTGATCTCATTTTCTCTAGTAGAATTTTACTATGTTCTCTCCCAACATTTAGCCTTCGGTTATACCCTGAAAAAATCATTCATCAATTTTTTACTCTCATGTATCTTTATCTGCTGTACTAACCTAAATCTGGTGTTGATGGCAGTATCACTCATAGGACGATCAGCCCCTCCAGAAGTATTGCAGAAGTTAACGTATCTAGTAGTCGGGCACCCTCAAGTGAAACGTGTTGACACTGTCCGAGCATATACTTTTGGTGTCTTGTACTTTGTCGAGGTTTCTCCTATTCTTCCCCTAAATCATTCTTTGTTTGAGATGGTCTGAATTAGTGATGTTGTAGTGATAGTTTCTATCCCCATCCCATTCTTGGTGTACTAAAAAAATTCCTTTTCCCATTGACAGGTTGATATTGAACTACCAGAAGATTTGCCTTTGAAACAAGCTCACACCATAGGAGAGAATCTACAAATAAAGATTGAGAAACTCCCTGAAGTAGAACGAGCATTTGTTCATCTTGATTATGAGTGTGACCACAAACCTGAGCATTCTGTACTCAGCCGGCTGCCCAACAGTGAACCCTAATATCGCAATAATCTCGGTGTGTGCCTCACACGTTTTGCCTCAACACATGTTGTAGATTATATACTCCATATAAGTTTATAAAGAAGTGCTGCATTTCTGGTTGCGATGTTTGAACAAGCTGTTTTTCAAGGTTTTTGCAAATTTTTTATGTGAAAGGTTGGTCACTTACAAACCTATGTGACCTTCATGCCCCATTAAGATGCAAATCCCGGTATAGTGTATATAAAAAATAAAATAAAAACCGTGGACACTCTTTCACCGGCCATCCGTTGCTCTTGTTCACCAATTTGTTTGCCCATCTCCTTCCTCAATTTTCCTGATTTTTTTCTTCTTTTCTTTTTCAATTCTCCTCTTCCAACTCATCAAAGTGCGATTTTATTCTTCTTTATCATAAAAAATTTAAAAACAGTATATGTATTTGGAAGTTTGTACTTTGTACTATTCTTCAAGCGCTTTATCTTATTTTATTAAATTTGTGTGATTCATATATAAAAGTTAACATAGTTCATCGTGTTCTATAAATTACATAAAAAACAAACTACGGGGTGTCCCCAATATGGATTCTTACAGATTTTAAAGAAATTTAGAATTCTATCTGAATCTGGGTGTCTTGAATTTGGTTTTGTGCGGAGTCTGCTAAAATCCGGGTGTTCTTCGAAATGTACGTGGATTCCTTAACTCTAGATTAGGGATGGACTCGGGCCGGGTCAACCGGCCCGGAACCGGACCGGCCCGCTACTGTGCGGGCCCGGACCGGCCCGGTGAACCGGTTCTGGCCACCCGGCCCGGTGGTATAGCGGTCCGGGCCCGGGCCTCCAGTTTAGTGAACCGGCCTGGCCGGGCCGGGCCCGGTTCGTGCCGGAATTTAATTTATTTTTTTTTTGAAATTTTTTTAAGTTTTGGGTTGGATTAGGTATTTTGGGCCATTTGAGGTGGTTTGGGGTGGTTTGGGGTGGAGGGGGAGGGGTAGGGAGTTAAATAAGAGAAGAAAAAAAAAAAATCCGGGTGGCCCGGCCCGGTCTGGCCCGGAACCGGACCTGGAACCGCCCACCACCGGTTCGGGCTCGGGCCTCATTTTTCTGAACCGAGGCCCGGCCGGGCCCAGGCCCGAACCGGGCCCGAACCGGAACCGGTCCACCCCTACTCTAGATTGCTAAGGATTCCCATCGATCTCCAAAGCTAAAATACAAAGGAAAGAATACGACCGAAACTCTCTATGCTTCCTTCGGATTTCCACGGATTTCCCGTCTAGAGCAAAACAAAGCTAGAAAAAAAAAACTCACCAGATCCGTCGAGAACAAAACGAAGCCAGAAGTAAGGGAATTCACTGGAGTTGTCGAGCTTGCCAACTACATCATTGGATTCATTGGAATGGGAAGTCTAGGATAAGAGCTCCTGCTAATATGCAATTCCACCTCGTCTGAGATAATAGGCTGTCGTTTTGCTCGTTTCCTTCTTCAGTTGCGGAAGTTGCATCAACCTAAGGGAGAAAGGCAAAAATCTTCAAATTTGGCGAGTGGCAAAGCTGGATGCTGAGGCTTCGTGGTGGCTAGGGTCGAAGGCAGAAGCTGAGAATCAGAGAGATTTCAAAATCCATGGAATTTGATTAGAATCTCACAAATTCTATACAACTCCATTAAAGTCCATTAAAATCTTACTCTTTTAAAATCCTTTGAAATTCTAATTGAGGACACCCCCTACAATTAAATCTATATTATTGACTTTTTTCATTCTTTTTTAGTTGTAAGTTGTAACATTTCAATTTTCACGTTTTCCAACGCACAAATTTGGTCATTAATATATTTCGTTTCTTATTACTCCGTAGTAAACAAGGTTCAAAACTCAGATTTTGAAATTTTAAAATGACAGGAAGTTAACAATATTTTTCAAAAATTTAATTTATAATATATTATTAAATAAAATATAGTCAAAATAGAACATATAAATAGTGTAAATTTCACTAACTTTACAACTAAACAGAACGAAGATACTACAAATGAGATAAATAGTAAATTTCCCGCTTTGGTATGAAGTCGGGTAAACAGGTCAAATAATGCAGCCCAATAATTAATAAATGCATTGCCTCGGCTACATAACTACTACTTAGATACTTGAAAAAAACCGTTTCTACACACTTTTACACATGCAATGAAGATTTTTTTTGTCTGTGAATACATATTTGTGTAAAAGTGTGTATACCAAAGAATCATTCAAAAACCCTTTCTTCCTATTTTATAAGTCATTCTACGTACTATTTCCAATCCTTTATTTAAGTCCTTATAATAAAAAAAGAGCATCATATAAGTATGCTTACTTTTAAAAAAATGTTCAATCTCATCATTTAGGGTTTGTTTGCAATGGCTTCTCCTTAAAAAACACTTTTTGGAAAAAGTGATTAGTAGTAAAAGTTGGCAGTGTTTGATAAAATAAATGTTTTTTGTGTAATAGAAAGAGTAAAAGCATTTTTCACACGAAAGCCGAGAAAAGTAAAAGTTAGTAGTGTTTGGTAAAATAAGTGTTTTTTAAGCCCAAAGCTGGGAAGTGCTTTTTTCTAGAGTTTGCGAACAAAGCCTTAATCAGTTTTTGATCCGTAATAGCTGATTTTTTACATTAAAAAACTTAATAATTTTGTTTAAATTTGAAGAAATATGGTTAAAAATTGTGAGAATTTTAAGAAGGTTGAAGTCAATATTTTAGCATTTTCAAATTATTTGTATATTCTACATCTATCTAAAAGGTATTTACATTATTTATTTTTTTAGTTTTTACATTTTCACTTTATTTTTTCAATTTTATGATTTTCATTTTTTATTTGAATGTTATTAAATTATTTATGTTTTTTACATTTATAGTATTTTTTTATTACATTTTTCAAATTTATATGAATTTTTATAAGATTTCTCAATAGTATTTTTATAAGAGGTCAAAATGGCTTGATTGGTGTATTTTAAAAGTAAGTGTACTTATAAGTAAATCACTTAAGCCTTTGGAAGAAGGGCCGGGCTTAAGTGATGAATTGAAAATCACAAAAATATCTATTTGACCCTTTTTCTCTAATTTATGATCATAGCGGAGAAGATTCATAAAGTGTTCACAATATTTTTTTTTACTTCACAAAATTGCGATTGCTTCTTTTTTGAAAAAGTGATTTGCTAGTGTTCAATACTAAAAGTTAGTAGTGTTTGAGATAAATGTGTTTTTGAAAAAAATAAAAGTTGGTGGGTGTTTGGCTCGTTAAAAAAAACTATCAAAGGTATATGACTGGTATTAGGCTCAATGCTGAACATGCTCATATACCACTGCCCACTTATAGCCCAATCACAATAAGTGGGTCAAGTGTTACGCTCCAGGGGCATGCCCGAGATGTTTGTCTCGCCCGGTACCTGTGGCATGCTCGGTACCTAGGACATGATCAAGTACTTGCAAGCTAAGCTTTCTCGTTGTGGGGGTTGCTCCGCCAGGGGATTTGCGGGAAACAAAAAATTGACAAGAAGCGCATTTAATATACTAAATATTATGGATTATGTGATTGAGGTTTAGCTACAGAAAGTCATGTTTGTTCTGAAATGTCAAACATATACGGAGTATCATTTTTACTCTTAAAAAATGGCATTCGTTACTTCAAAAATGTATGAAGATGTAAAATAAAACTATCATCTCGATACGTATATTGACATAAAAGTGGCATTTTTTAAAATCAATATTCAATAACACAACAATAATGACATTTTCAGGTTCAAATGGTGAGGAAAATAATGTGAATATTTCAAAATGAAATAAATAGAATTAATAAAAATGGAAATTCAAAAGAGAAGAAATCATATGAATCCTGGGGGAAAGAAAACAGGGGAGGGGAAGGAGGAGGTTGATGACAAATTGACATTCCTACAGTATCCCTATTGTGCCAAAAAGTGACAGTCCTATAGTACAATGGAACTTTTCAATATATTTTAGTTCTTATTAGATAAATCTCTCCTAATTTTTTATGCAACACTTCACATGAAATATAACTATCCTAATGATCAAATAGTACATCTTTAAAAACAGGTGAATACAATCTTGAATCTTGTAAGATTAGGTGTAAACAAAAGCTAAAATAGTCAAATAAAGACACACACTCGACCAGAACAAAAGGTCAAAATTCAAGGTTACCTAATAGCCAAATGGTCCACAATATTGCTTTATTGGTAGAAATTCCGTGCATCATGATTAAACAACTCCACTTAGACCACGACTTTCTCAGTCTCATTTCACTCTCATTTTATATGTTATACTTTGACTTGATACGATTATTAATAAAGTCGTTAAAAAGTATAATGGTGAGTATAATAAAGTAAAATGGTGTAAATCACATATTTCTTTCCAAACAAGGAAATGCGATACTTATTTTGAGACAACCAAAAAAGGAATATAAGACATGTAAATGGGACGGAGAGAGTACTACTTTGACTTTGTACTGACCCACTTATATATTTTATTACTTCGTAATTAGTACTGAATTAAATAAGAAACAAAGAAAAATTAAAATTGTGTCACTAAGAATTGCAAAAAAACAGAGAGAAATAATTTATTCCGTACTTTAATAGGAAAGCGGCTTGATACAATAGAAAAAAAGTTGACATAATTATTCGACGCACTGCCACCAATAGCAGGCTCAATAGTGCAAGACATAAGCATCATATTCGACGGTGGCGTCGCCGGTCTTCAAATCAACCATTTGAGTCTTCGCCAGAACGTAGCCGCGAGCAAACCGGAAAAGCCCACTGCCGCCGACGATGGACATCTCCCGGACCTTCTGTAACGCCGGGTTCCGGCCGAGCACGGTGAGGGTGCTGCCGTTGTACTTGCCCTCAATGAAAGCCAGGTTCATCACCATCAAGAACCCAAGCTCCTCCTGGCACGCCGAAGCATAGATCCCCTGGGCTCTTCCGACGCACTTGGACTTCGGATCCGGCGCGACGGTCAGCGGGTTGTCGATGATGTTTGTCAGGCCGAAGCTGAAATTCGCCGACGAGATTTTCGCCGGTGGGATGACCATGATCGAGGTTGGCTTGGGCCCGCTGAGAATGTCGTGCCAAAAGAAGTGGAGATGACTTGCCTTTTCCTTCTTGAATCCCAGAGATTTCCGGTCCACCGGTTTTCCGAAGATTTGTTCTTCTCCGGTGACCGGAAAAGTGAGCAGGAAGAAGAAGACAATGAAGATGGGAAGGGAGTTCGTAAAAAATGGAAGAATCGGATTCTTTGCCATTTTGACAAAAAAGTATGTACTGGTTTATGCATGTGGTAGATACATATAGAAGAGCACAAAAGCTAACGGTTCACCCAACATAGACTAATGCCCCTAGACTAAAAGTCAAATTAAGGTTAATAATACCCCTATTGCATAGGTTAATTTAACGATGCAATATTATAAGCCTATTTTATAACATTTTTTTTTTTTTTTATGAAAGCCGATAATTAATTCAACAAGTCGTTCGCGATGCAATCGGGCGGATAATCGAAATTAACTACCAGACCAGACATAGAAACAGCCGCTTTTGCCATAGCATGAGCCGCTTGATTCGACGATCTTCTGCACCAATTGATGAGTATATTTTCATTTCCACACAAAAGGGCCTTAATGTCTTCAAAAACGACCCCTACTTGAGAATCATTCTTCTCTCCTTTAATCCCGGACTGGACAAGGGCAGCATCTGTTTCGATAACCACATTTTGCCACTTGTTCTCCTTAACCAACAAAATTGCTTCTCGGACCCCCAAACTTTCTGCTTCGATCGGTGACCACCCCGCTTTCACTTTTCGGCCTCTAGCTTGAACAAACTGTCCATTGTGATCTCTAAGAACCCATCCCCAGGCCCAACTATTTGTTTGAGCGTTGTTGGCAGCGTCTACATTTAATTTCAACCAAGATTGTTGTGGTCTCTTCCAACGTTCGACTGTTTTACCCACCTGCGGAATAAGCCCTTTGTTTGTAGTTGACTGGGCAGATTTCCAGCTTGCCAAAGTTGCTGTAGCAGTCCGCCTAATCCCTTCAGCTGAGAAGCTACATCCCTTCCACACAATGTCATTTTATAGCATTAAAATTGATTTGAATCAATTGAATTTTGTAAAATTCTAATTAAAATTACTGAATTGATTAAATTTCTTGAGTTTTGGGAAAATTTATTTAAAATAAACTGGGTATTTTATTACTATAATAAATAAAATATATGAAAGTTACTACTAGTAATATGGAGTATATCCCTTCTCAAACAAAGTCAGGTAATTGAACTACAAAATAACTTCAATTGTATTTTGATTATTGTGAAATTCAATCGTGAAATAAAAAAAATTGCGTGTACTGGTAAAAATGACAGATAAGAGTAATAAGTTGTACTTTTGAATTCTCAAATGTAATCTTAATATCTAAATATCTGATGAATGATAAAGTAATTCGTGTTAAATTTCAATACTTTTGTCTCACTACTATTGAGACATGAGGTAATAATACAATTATTAAAACAAGTGAATTTATATCACCATCATCATCATTACCCTAGTGCCGCAAAGACTCTCACCTACGATGATGTAAGGGAGTCGGATATATGCAACCTTACTCCTGCACTAAAGTACAAAGAAACTGTTTTCGGATGATCCATAATGAAAATCACATTGAAAATTGCATGATTGACTGTTGTTTCGTAACAAAGGAGCATAAACGGTTTAGTGAGTCATATTGCTTTATTTTATCATATTCCTAGGCCAAAATATGATGAGTCGTTGGCTCTATTGCGAGTAATGGAAAAACGTAATAATGATTTAAAACACATACGTAGTCGTATATTTTATTAAATTGGGCATGAACAATCTTAATGAAACAAATTACTCCGTAGAAAGGAAAATTTGTACCAATCAATCTCAGTGAGACAAATTCAAAAATACTGATAAGACAAGTTAGGGGGAGGAGAGTATTTGAAACTAGTTATATATACGGAGTAGTATGAGACATTGCAAATGTGATCCCGAAATCCGAACACCACGTTTTTTCGCGTTTCCTGGACAAAATTCTGATGCCATATTATAATTGACCGGGGGAAAGAAAAGTTGGTCAACTGCATTGTGATCATATATATAGAATTCAAATTTGTTGAATTGTTGTCATAGTCAAGTTGCTCAAGTATTCAGATATTTTCAACCAAATATAATTAGAACCATTTATCGCAAATTTAATTTTTACATCACAATTGACAATTGTGGTTTTTAAAACGATTACAAATTTACAATTCTTAAAGAATCAACTTTTATTCATAATAATGACACAATTAAGGCTCTATGTTTTATTCACGAGGACCTATATAGGTACTGATGGAGTATATGGCCCAGGAACTCCCGGCCCATAGACTCTTACTTCTCCTACACAGGCCCATTGAGCCCATGGAGCATCTGAGGCCCACAAACAGTGGCCCAAGTTCAAGGAAGCCCACAAAGCACTCATTGGTGCCTTCGGCCTCCTTGGCCGAAGGCTCCAAAACTCACAGAACAACCATTTTTGGGCATGCGAAACCACTGGGAGAAAACGGTGGAAAACAGGTGCCTTCGGCACTGTGGAGCCCTCGGCACCAGGGAAGCCCTCGGCTGAACCAAGCCTTCGGCTGCATAGGGCCTTCGGTCACACGGAGCCCTCGGCTATGTAAGGAGCCTTTCGGCTAAACAGACTCAATCATCGAAGATTCCCTGTGGAGACAGCCAACCTCCGCATTTAATGCAACATCACATCCACCCACCGCATTTAATGCGGTGCATATGCGAGTGCCGGTGCCACCCCGATTGAGGTGACCCCTCAGCCGTTGGATTACTGAAACGTGTACTCTCATCGCATTTATTGATACTATAAATAGCAGCCCTTATTCTCCTTGTAAAGCACGCTGAGTTCATTTAATACAATCGACTCTCTCTCCTCCTATTTGCCCGACTTCTCTCTAGTTATTCCCGCAATAACCCCTCGGATAAGATACCCCCCGGGTACACTGTCCATCATTTGGTGCTCTCGTTGAGAGGTCTGAACAATCGAGTAAGAAACCCTCCCCTTCGCCAAACACAAAAACACCTACCAAAATGGGAAGAACTCGTGGTCAATTTAAAACCCTCGAGGAAAACCACGTAGCCCCCGGCGATACCAATGGGGACGAAGCCTCCAACAGGCTCTTGGTACCCGAAGGAGGTACTATCCTCGAGTTAGAGCAGGCTGCCACTAACCCCCGTCAGCAGCTGCAGAAGGCTGCCCCCGATGCCCGCATCAGCCTTGATAATCGAAGGAAGGACCGGGGTGAGAACCAAGTTCCCCCTCCGGCTCCAACCATCGATCTTCAGGCCGCTTTTGCAGCCTTCGTCCAAAGCATGGCAGCGAACTCCGGTGCCTTTGTTTCACAGGCACCGCTCCAACCCTATTTCAAAGGAAATGTTGTCCATTTTCCGCCACCCCCCTCCTCTGTTCAACAATCCATGGGGATTGGCAACGCCGGGGGGTCATGGCGCAAGACACCGCCTCCCAAGAGGCTCAATCCAAAGACAAACGTTGTGCGAACAAAGAGAAGCCCCGAACCTCTGCCCTCGAGAGGTTGGGAGTAGCTCCTGAACGCCGAGGGGTCCAAGACCGCCTCAGTGGCAAGGCAATTAGTAGGCTGCAGGATAGTGGAGGCTCCGTCTCGGGGGCCGAGGAGAGGCATCCCCCTCGGGATAAAGGCAAAGGCCTCCTCCATCCAGAGGATGCCAGGCACCAAATCAAGCAGGCCCAATCCTTCCGGGCCAACTCCCAAGGGGTTGCCCCGAAGGACCGCAAGGACGAAATCATCGAAGCCCTCCTCCGTCAACTCGAGGAGACACGTCAGGCACCCCCGACGGCTTCCACGGCAAGGCCAGATCCGGAGTACGCCGACCTCCGGGCACAAATGGAGGAAATGAGGCGCAAGTTCACCGAGGGCTCAGACGAACCCCTCATTCAACTCCGCACTAGAACGCCTTTCACCCCAAGGGTGCTGGCGGCTAAGATCCCTAACAAGTATCGGGGATAACCCATCAAGCCATACGAGGGGAAGACGGATCCCCAAGAGCATTACAGCAGGTATCAAAACAGTATGATGATGATGGGGGCATCAGATGAATACTTGTGTCGTTGATTCCTTTCCACCTTGGAGGGGCCGGCGTATGAGTGGTTCAACCAGTTGCCCAAAGGCAACATAGATTCGTGGCAAGAACTGGCCCACCGTTTCCTCACTCAATTCGCCGGGAGGCACCGGTCGAAGAAGCACTTCTCCCATCTCCTTAATGTGAGGCAACAAAAGGAGGAGTGTAACACCGTCCCCAAATATATTTACTTTTATGTAAATAATGTATTGAACCTTATTAAAGGATTAATGAATTTACGAAGTTGTAAATTTTTACTATTTCTTTCGCGTGATTAGTAAATTGCACGTGGGACCCACACCAGGAGCGGGGGCCGCCCGACATTCCCGAGACCATATATTTTATTCATCTTGGCCTATATAATAAATATATAGTGTTCGATATTTCATTTGGGCCATGGAAAGGCCCAGAGTTGACCGATTGGTTAAAAAAAGCCCAAATTACCGGTACTGGTAATTTAACAGATAACAGCCCGAACTGAATTTTGGAGACTTATAAATTAAAGTTGGGGAATGTATATTCATTATACATGTCATAATGAGTAAGAGCACATAATATATTTTATTTGACCCGATAAAATAAAATATATTTAAAACAGTCCGAAAAAATACAACTTTCGGGACCGATTGTACACATCGGGACACAAAGGGATGACCTCCCACATGAGTGGGGGTCACCCCACGTTTTTTTGTGCTAGATTAGACAAAGTTGGGCTGGAGTTGACTAAGGAAGGTGTGGAGGAGGAGACTTGGGCATCAAAGGTACACCCAAAGGGGCCCTTTTCCTCACTCATTTGCCAAATGAGACAAAGAGAGCCATCCCCTCCCCTCCCTCACTCATTAGCTCGACCAAGCACCCAAGAATAGCAAGGAAGAGCTCTACAATTCACCATTTTCACACCCAAATTCGAGCTCAAGGAAGAAGGTCCAAAGAGGAGTGTTTGGAGAAGGAAAAAGGTTGGGAAAAGTGTGAACAATTAAGGTAATGACCTTATTATAACTTTTCCTTTATTTTTCTTCTACCATATAAGATATATATATCATGTGGAGGATCCTTAAGAGGGTTCTACATGTTATAAGTATGAATTTATGGGTTGGAAAGTGATTCTATGTCCAAGAACGGACTTAGAAGCCAAAACGACCGGTTCACCGGAAAATAGCCT